ACAGCCGCGGAAGTGATATGAGCAGTGGCTGAACATCACTCTTGATATCTACAGCATTCCAAAAGGTCTAGAAATGAGCCAGGAGTAGGAACCAGATGCCCACCTGTCTGAAGTGCGGGCTTTTCTCCTTTCCTTGCAGAGAGGTGATGTGCTACACCTCCTTTAACCAAGGCATCCCTGAGATCCTTGCTTTGTAGCATCCCAGCATCTTGCCCCGGCTGGCCTGGGCATCCTCATCTCCCCGGCTCCCCCAGTCCTGGCAGAGAAGCTGCAGGCAGGTTTTGCCTGTGCGTGTCTCTCTGATCCAGAACCAGATGGTGGAGGGAGGGGAAGCAAAGGGGCTGCCCTTCGCTCCTCCACCGCCGTGGGTTTTGGGTGCACCCGGATGATCCTCAGCTGAGCTTTGCCCATGAAGGATGGGGCGCAGGTGCAGAGCCGGAGGGCCTGGACCCTTTGCCTGTGTAGAACCCACTCTGCTCTCGCTTTCTGCATTTGCTTCAGGCAGTGCCGCCTCTCGGAGCTGCTCGCTTCCCCCTCCCTCCCTGGGGAGTGCTGGGATGCTCTGAAGAAATGCTGCGTTGTACTGCTTGGGTTTGGGTTGGGTTGCTGGTTTTAAGGCACCTAAGTGTTCTGGAGTTGTAGGAATAGCCGTTCCTGCTGTACCTGAGATGCTGATCTCGGAGTTGTCTGCCGTCTGAAGGTGTGATGGTTTGGGGTAAAGACTGTTACTCTCCCCTGTGTCTTGGTGACATTTCCCTTGGGGAAATCAGCTTGTCTTGCCCAAAGCAGACCTTGCAGAGTTGGCGTTGTGCCTGGCTCCCGTGGCTGTGTGCGTAAAGGGGGGGTTTGGCACGTGGCCCTTGCACGGTGACGCTGTCCCCATGCCACCCCTATCCCTCAGCCTTAGCAGCCCTGAACCAAATCCCGGTGAGCCCTTTGGATGCCCCCTGGGGTGCTGGATGATAGCCCAGATAGCTCCTCCGCACCGCGCTCTGCTCCCAGGGACTGCGGTGCCGATGACCCCCAACCCCGGCAGAGCTGCCTGCGCAGGGGGAGGCAGGAGGTCCCCCTGCCCGCAGCGCCGGCGGGTTAGTACGGTCCGGGGGTAACCATGGAAACTGTTTTTTCTCCATCCCTCCCTTTGCAGATGACTCGGGTGATGAGGAGCCCGCCTCGCAGTCAGACAAGAGCGAGCTGCACGGCACGTTGAAAACCCTCTCGAGTAAGCTGGAGGATTTGAGCACTTGCAATGACCTGATCGCCAAGCACGGGGCGGCCCTGCAGCGCTCGCTCAGCGAGCTGGAGAACCTGAAGCTGCCGGCTGAGAGCGGCGAGAAGATCAAGGCGGTGAACGAACGAGCCACGCTCCTCCGCATCACCTCCAATGCTATGATCAACGTAAGTGCTGAGCCGCTGGGGTCGCAAGGAGGCAGAGGGAGAAGTGCTTTTCTCCTCCTCTTCCTCCATCATCCTTCTTTCCTCCGGCACGGCCCCGTTTTCTCCCCGTGCATGGGCTCTCTGCAAGAGCTGTGCGTTGGCTCGCGCTAGCACGGGGCTTAGGCGCGGCTGGGGGCTCGGTGCCGGCTCAGCGCCGTGGCAAGGGGATGGGAATTTGAGGTGATGCAGCTCAGGGAGAGAGCATGGGTGCGTGTAACCCCTCGAGACCTGTCACAGGCTTACAGCGTCCTTTCAGGGGAGGCTGCTCCAAAACAGGACGTTATGGATGTAAAGCCAGGTGGAGTGGAGGCGTGGGGTGCAGTGGGGATTTTGGCCGTTCCTGGGGGTGACTTTCTGGCTGGCACGGCAGTTCGGAGCCCATTGCTTGCTGCAGATTCAAACTCACCTCCTCCCGTCACTCGCATCCTCGGTGACTTCCATGAAACTGCCCTTGTTTTACACGACCGGGTGATTTAACCCCCGCAGGGTCCCAGAGCTGTCAGTGCTCTCCAGACCAGTTTGTTGGGGGTGGAAGACCCCGTGCCAGCACCATCGCTGCTCCCTGCCCTGTGCAGGGGATGGTGCTTTCTCCTTGTCTTTTGGCCAGCTTCGTTTGGGGTGCGGATCTGCCTCCATCGCAGTGAGACAGCCCTTTGGGAGCCTTGTGTTCCCTGGGGAGGGAAGAGAGAGCAAAACTACATAAAATATGTAAAGCAAAAAAAACCCAAACAGAAAGGCCCAATTCAAATGCCTAACAGACCCGGAATAATACATGAAGCGGAGCTTGGGGAATTGTGAATGAGCCGTGCTGTCACCGTGCGGTTCCAGCCCTGAGCAGAAGGAGGTTGTGCGCTGTTTTGTGGGGACTTTTGAGGTTAATGATCATCGCTGGCAGGAGCAGAAGGGCACTCGGGACCCCCGCGGTCACAGCACCCTGCCCATCCCCATTCGCAGGGGGAAAGGGCTTTCCTGAGACGGTGCCTTGCGCTGGGGAGCGGAGTTGGGGGTGCCTGTGCTCCCTGCGGAGAGTCGGTCAAAGTTTTTGGAGCGGGGATGGCAGCGTGCTGCGAGCAGGGGAGGGGACGGTGGGGCCCTTGGCACTGGTGAGGCATGCTGCTGGGAGTCTGACTGGTGATGGGATGTGGGCAGCGAATTGCCGGGAGGGGATTTCTCTAACAGCCTTTTGGGAAGGGATGAGCAGAGCAGTATTTGCCTTGTCCAGCCTGGAGAGGAGGAAGTTGCAACGTGATAAAAGCTTGAGGGGGGCTGGACAGTGGGAAATAGCACAAATACTGGTGTGCAGGGGAAAAAAAGGGTGGGAACATGGTTTGTCTGAAAGGGGAGAGGGAGGGAGTGGGTGTTCTCAGGTGGATGTCATAGGTCTGTTTTTACCAGCATCATTTTGCACTCCGGCTCGTGGCTGAGCGTCGCGGGGAGATGTCCGAAGGGGAGATGCCCGAAGGGGAGATGCTGTAGCGTGGAAGAAGCTGGATGGGAGTGGCAGGGCTCGGGGGGGGGGGCTCTGCAGCTCTCCCAGCTTGCTGAGCCTGCCACTTCAGGGAGAGGTGCCTAGGCTGTGGGCACTGACCCCCAGGAAGCAGCGATGCTTTGGGGGCAGGAGGAGGGTGAGCAGGGCAGGGTGGTGGTGTCCAGGAGGGGGGACCAACAGCCTGAGCACCCCCATGGTGGGCTGGTGCTCCCAGCTGTGCTGTCATCTTCTCCTGCACAGATCCCTCTTTGTGTCTTGATTTATGTTTTTAGCATGGGATGATGCCTTCTGCAAGCTACTGCAGGGAACCTGCCTGGGGAGTCTCTCCGGGAGTGGGAGGTGGCTCTGGGTGGTGCAGAGGTCCAGGAATCTTCCGTATTGAATCATGGACCATCGCTATGGGGAAGCACAAACAGCCTTCTCTGATCCCCCCATCGCGGCTGGCTGCTCGGGCCACACAGCCTGGAGGAACGGGCCGGTAGTTCCTTGCAGGAGAAGTGAAACACCCTTGCGTGCCAGCTTTTCCCAGAGAGATCCCAGCCAGCAGTGACGGGCTGGTGCTGCCATGTAGATGCTCCGTATCCACACTCTGCCCCAGCCCCAAACCTTGCTGATCCGCCCATCCCGGCGCGGCGGAATCTTGCCTCCCAGGGCATCGCCATCGCAGCAGGGGTTGGCTTTGCAGGAGATGCTGTGGCTCGTGTCCATGCCTCGGCTGGACGTTCATCGCTGAGATTAAGCCGTGTTCGCTTCTTTCTCAGTTGCACCCCTGAGCAGTTCAGGGGGGTTTGGACCCGAGAGCTGCCGGCTATGAGAAACCCCCAGGAGTCATCCGCTGCCCTCTTCCAAGGGGTGCCGGGCTGCCCCAGCCCTGGGCTCTGCCCTTGGGTCCTGCTCCTGACTGGGACTTGTGCCGGCAGCATGCCCAGGCCAGCGGAGCAAGGCCAGGGCAGGGCTGGACTGCAGCAGAAGGGAAGGGATGCTCGCAGTTCCGTCCAGCCGCCCGTGATCTGATTACGTAAAAGTCCCCAGAGCCATGGGGAGCGGCAGCAAGCAAGTAGAGCTAAATAAATACATATGTAAATGAAAGTGCTTTGCTGGGAAGGTGACCTTTTCGCCGCATGTTTGGAGCGCCTGCCTCAGCCAGCGTGGGTTGCGTTCCTCCGGAGATGGGGAGGAGAAAGCAGCTCGGGCTACCGCTGTCGGAGTGATGCTCAGGATGGTGGAGGAAGATTAGGGTAGAGGCAGGGTGGGACGTGCTGGACCTTTGTGTCACAGGTCAGGATCTAAAATGCAGAGGGACTCACTGTTGCTGGGCTTAAATTGAAGCCCAGACCTCTGCCCGCCACCTTTTGGCTGCACTCCCATCTGAGCTTGGAAATCTCACGTAACACTGGGCTGGGTGAGAGTCCTGGGAGAGTTCAGCTTGCCGGGACCAAGACGCCCCGTGTCAGCAGGGCTGTGGGGAGTGCCGAGGAACAGACGCAGCAAAGCAAGGCACAATCTGCCGTGGGGGAGGAGTGGGAGGTATGTAAAAATAAGAAGCAACAAATTAGAGTGATAATTAGAGGCAGAGTGATGAAGAGTGCTGTGCTGAAATGTGTAGGCCCATCCAAGGAGTGGGGAAAGCTCCTGTCTCATAATGTAGCAGCAGACAGCAGGCAGGAGGGCTGTGCGGACACACTGAGGAAGCCAGTCTGGGTGTCAGGAAGAGCTCACAGGGATGGGGGTGTTGCTGGAAATAGGTTTTTGATGGGAACGTGGTTTGCTGTGGCGAAGCTTGGAGGCGGCTGAACTGTGTGTGCATGTGCAATAGCTACACTCTGCTTTTGGCTTGCTTTGTGCTTCCTTAAGGATGTGAGCATGGAGACCAGCGGGGCTTGAGCCTGGCCACGTGTCGCTCCTGGTTAGTTGGCATTTTTCCATGAGGTTTACGAGGAGCAAAGGCTCTGCCAGGCCGGCACAGCTCAGGCAAGGAGTGGGGTGAGAGAGGCAGCTGGGGCAGGGGTACTGGTGCTGGGTGGGAGATGCTGAGCAGGTGAGGTCTGTGGGGAGCGGGCTGGCATGGGCTACCGTGGAGCCAAAGGATCCCTTGCCTGCGCCTCTGAGAGGCTGCCGTGCTGGTGGCACATCGTGCAGAGGATGCCAGCACCCACTCCGCGGCAGACTGGCTTTGCCACGCAGGTTTTCCTTTCCCACGGGAACAAACCTGTCTGGACCATTGGTACCCCAAGACCTGAACAAAGAGCATCCTTCGTCCCTCTGAATATGCAGGCAGGGTTTTAAAGTATGCGACACGCAGTGCCTGGTTCAGAAGTGAGATCGGTAACAGTATGCGTTGCTACTGCTCTGGGGAAGGCGGCTGTTAAAGCCTCTCTGGGATGCGCAGCATCATCCCAGGGGCTGCATCCTCCAGCCCCAGGAGCGTTCTTCTCCGCTCCGGCGCCCTCCATGGCTGTGTGCCGGTGCAGCAGCAGTTACGGAGTGGCCCTGTGCCATGTGCCGGTGACTTGAGGAGCCGCCACGACCACATGTGGCTCTTGGAGATTCTGCGTGGCTGCTGTCTGTTGGAGGCATCTGCCGGTGGGTTTGTGGAGGGTCTGAGGGTTGGAGTCAGGGAGTTACAGCTGCTCAACCAGTTTATTTGGAGACCTCCTGGGTTCCTGTCCTGTAGCGAGCTGCCCAGGTAAAAGATGCACTTCCCCGGAGCTGCTGCTCTGCCTTCCCATTTCCCAAGTTCACTGCTGTCTTTGTGACGTGCTGAGCCACTTCTGTCCCCCTGGGGATGCTGCTGTGATTAATCTACTCCTAAAACTGTTTCCATATCAAAATGGACCGATGTTGAGCATGTGCTCTGAGCGGTGTCAGGTTCACCAGAGCAGCCATCGGCCCGGTGCGTAATTTCTAATGATTTCACTGATACATTAACCAGCATTATTTGTCTGTGTGTGCTTGCAAAACAGCTTAAAGCTGGTAGGAAACAGAGTCATTGCTTCTCCCGAGGGCGAGTGCACAGTCAGGGTGATGCTGCTGGTGCGAACCTGGCTGGGTCCTGGCACAGAGCCGGCTGCTGGCAGCAGTGGGCATGCGGTACTGTCCATTAGGGTCCCCAAACCCATAGCAGACACAGGCAGGATGATGGACCCCACCTCCTCTGCCTGCCCAGCACTCCGGGCAGTGGGGTCAGAGATTCTGAGCAAGGCGGGAGACCAGCAGCCTGCTGCGCTACTCCCAGTTCAGCCCAGTACAGCCAGCGGGATGGAGGAGCCCTCCGCCCTGTGCATCCCTATATTCAGACACTGTGCGAGCAAGCACTGGCTTCGACCCCCGGCTTTGCTTGGTTGGCAGCAGGGACTGCCCCGGCTGCCCTCAGTGGCTTCAAGCAGATGCTCTGTGCCCAGAATGGGAGGAAAGCCCAGCAGAGGGGTAGTATCTCTTCCCTGTGACTGCTGCAATGGTGAGTGAGCAGGAG